CTTGGGTTTCCAAGGCAGTATCACTACGGAAGTAGATTGCCCCATCTTCCTTCCAAGGAGTGCCTGATGGGTTTGAACCGCCAGCCTTCTGGTTAGCAGTCCAGTGCCTTAGGCACTATCCTACTAGAGCTCCAGAGCCTGTTCTTAGGTCCCTGGAAACTGAATGATAATGCTATCACTTTAAAATCCAAAATGGTTGCCACTTGTAAACATTCAAAATGGCTGTGCCCTTGGTCATTTTAAATATCCAAAATGGCTGCCATGTGTAAACAATCAAAATGGTTGCACCCTCCAGACATCAGAAAGCCCATAGCTCAGGTTGTCTCCCTCCTTATTGTTTCTCTTTCTAGTCATAGGCCACCAGAGCAGTTCTCACTGTAGCCCTTGGTGACTGGGACTGATCTTTAGGTCAATTCTCAGGTCCCAACACCACTTGGAAATATTCAGGCTGTTGTTCTCGTCAGAGTAGCTGACAGTCCGCAGCTCCAACCAACTCTGTATTCACTGTTTTCATTCAGGTTTTTCCACTAGGTTGGTGCCTAATCCACTTCTGTATAGTTTCTTTCAAAGCTCAGGGTTCCAGGATTATCTTCCGTATCTCTGTCAATTGGTTTTTCTTTTCTTTGTTGAAGAGGGTCTGTGTTGCTTGTCTGCCTATTCCTCCATCTTACCCAAAGTCCACCTTTTGGTTTTTTAACTCCAGGTCCAGAAAAGACCAAAATAGATCTCAGAAGAGATTCTGAAATGTGCTCTTGGATATAACATAAATAAAGTGAATAGAAGAAATAAAGAAGTAAAAGAGCTGAACAGAAGATTTAAAAGGGCAGCTTGAAAAGATAAAGTGAAGTATTTACTATCACATTATCTGACGTTGTGCATTTACAATAGTAAAAAAATCTATCCAACTATTTTTCATATTAATGACATATAATTTGCAGTAACAAGTGCTGAGATGCGAGGCAAGAGTAGTGCTAGTTCTGACAGTTAAGGTTATGTATCACCTTGTCTGGACCATGATCTCAGTGGTTTGGCAGTTATGTAATGATATAATTTGGCAGTAATGTAATGCTGTAGTCATCCTCCATTTTGTGGTCTGATGTGGTCATCTTCCATTTTCACATGCCTGTTTTCATATAATGAACTGGTTCTTGGAACCTAACCTTTTAAAATCATTTTTTACTAGATATGTGTGTAACTACAGTCAAGAGTTATGTTTAATAGTTGAGCTTTAACCTACTGATGTGGTTGGTCTTGTTCTAGCATATTTTATATTATAACTATGACTTTGGTTATTGTTTATAGACTCCATGCCATGAGCAAAGGTGCTCTTATGGCATAATGGTTAAGGCTAATCAAAAGGTGGCTGGTTCAAATCCACCAGCTGCTCTACAGAAGAAAGATGAAGCAGTCCACTTCCTTAAAGATTTATAGCCTTAGAAACCCAGTGGGGGTTGCTATGAGTCAGAATTGATGTGATGGCAGTGAATTTGGATTTTGATTTGGTACCATGAGCAATGATGGAAGTAATATACACCTACTCCTCACTTACTGACATGGTTATATTCCAAACACAAGGTCATTATGCAAAATTGGCATTACATGAGTGTCAGGGGCTGCACCCTGGCTTCAGTGCTGGTGTCCTCCCCCATGGGTCATTTGCCACCTGTCGGGCACCTCCAGTGCATCTGAGGATACTGATGTGCAGTGGATCCCCCTTTCCCATCATGCCTTCCCCATTACTGTAGAGTCTGTGAGTTAGTTCATAATTGTGGTTATGGTGGTTAGGTGTTGCCTACCACCTCCTGGTGCCCACCCTGTGTGGGGACCCCACTCATCTTCCACCTGCCTGCCTGCCTGGGTGGGGACCCACTCATCCTCCATCCACCCTAGCCCTGCAGCCTCACACAGCCCCCTTCCTTCTCCCTCCCAGCCTGCCTCCCTCTACCAGCTTCTCTGGCACCTTCAAGCCCTTGCCCAGCTCCCCCTGCCCACCCTTGACCTTGGGTCATCACCCCATACTCTCTGTGGCCACACCAAGACTTCATGGACAAATAAGAGAAGGTATCCTGTGGCTAGTTGGCGACCATCCCTTGTGTGGCCCAGGGCCACACCAGTATATCATCACCAGGGTCTCCAGTATATCATTTGGAATGACTTGTGGATGATTCCGTGGGCTCAGCTGCCACCCCATATGATGCCAGCTGACAAATTTTTCAGAGTTGTTGTAAATGCAAAATGTCAGATAATGAGATAATTGGTAAGTGAGGAGTAGGTGTTGTTTCTCTTCCTCATTCCTTCTCTTCCACCACTCAATTGATCAATGATACTATTTTCCTTAGTACTGTTAAATATACTTTTACTTCTATCAGGTTCTAAGAAGTTCTAAATATCTTCAGACCAAGGTAGGTTTTTCCCAGAGGGTTCTTTTTGGATGTTATTCTGCCTCTCCCCTCGCCTCTAGGCAGTCCCTTGTCATCTGATCCAGGACAATGAAGGTTTAGTTGACTTGTGATCAGCCTAACTATTGCTGCCACCCTGCAGGACAGAAGTCAAGCATGGTTTCTGTCACAGTTCAAGACTCTATCAGGAGAAACACAGCACATCCTGCCAAAGCTCCCTAAAATTAGAATCATTAGACTCAGACAGCTGAGAGCTCAAGGCACAGTCACTGTTGTTTCTCCTGAGGTACCTAGGCTAAGCTTAGGGACCTTCTTGATTATGAAAACCGCCCTCTGCCTAGCTCTCCATGATTGTGACAAGACTGGATTCTCAAGTACCTCATCCCCTCTGTTTAAGTCTCTCCTTCTATTATGGGTAAATATTTTGAAATTGAACAGTTTCAGAATTTAAAGGCCCTCCTACCCCCATCCTGGACCAGCTTTCTTTCACATTTGGCCATAGCAAAACTTACCATACTACCACCACCAGGTTCCCCACCTCCACCTGCCTTTACTCCACTGGACTCTTCCCAGGCTCCAGAGTTCAGGCCAAAAGGAACAGTGCTGCCACATCACCACCCAGTTGAGAGAGAGCTAGCTCTGGTAAAACTGACATCTGCAAAGGTCTTTTATCTCCTTCTACCTTTTCTTTCAGTTTGTCTTTAGTCCTATTTCTTTTCAGCCACATCTCTCAGAGCAAATCTGTTCTGGGTTTCCTTTAACTAGTCATTACCCCACACCCCTCCTCATAAGATGTCACTTGTTTACAAGGTGTCGAGTAGAAAGCAGAAGAGTTTTCTAGACCCAAGCAGATGAATCTGGACTTTCAGGCAGCATGAGAGAGGCAGAAAATACTTTTGAGGAAGTCTTCTTGGTGCCCATTCAGTCCGCATTGGTAGGACAGGTGACAGTCATGCAACACAAACTCAAGACCAGAGTCTTTTCCATTCACAGGCCATGTGATTAGTCAAACTCAAACTGTTTCCTCTCCACCCCCCTCAACCATTATGACCTCACACATCATCATTATTTAGAATTTATTTAGCCCAGTGTTGTCATGGTAAAGAATCAGCATGGGGAGTTCTCCTGAGACAGACACCCCACTCATATCTAACCATCACTTTCCTGGTCACTAAAGGCATCTGATTAGGTCCTAAAACCTCTATTTGCTCTGATATCCTAAGGATCTGGGATGTGAACTGAATGGATGGATACATAGAACCCCTGAGGTTGGTTTATGTGAGCATATAGTGTGGTGAGCAACTTAGCTGTGTTGAGTCTGGCTATTAAGTGGATCCGGGGCTAGTTCACAGGAGCTCTTTCTGAGCCTTTTTCCTTTGTCCCCTCCAGGGAAGATGACTGTGGCATATGTCACAGGCTTGGAGCAGATCAGGACCTTAGGAGGCAGAGGGTGTGGTGGCTGTGGAAGTGAGGGTTTCCCCGATAGGAGATCAAGAGGTAGGCTGCTGTAGGTGGTATTGTTAAAGGAGGGTGGTGAGTCGAGCCTAACATATGGTACATCCAATGACAAATCAGCAGCCAGTCCAGAATCACTGATGTGGTGGCCCACTGAGGAGGGCTCCTGTAATAAAAGCAGGCAAATCAAGAAAAGAGGGGATGCTTCCCTGTACTTCAGTTCCCTTTGGTGGGAAGCCTGGAACCAGACTTTGTCTCTCTCAAATCCTCAGTGTATTTGTGGACAAGAGAGCCTTGCCAGGTACCTTTTGAAGACTTTTAAGCACTAAGTTTCTCCCCAAATCTGGGAAGGTGGGATACCAAAGGAAACCATTGGTGCCAACTCTATAGCATTTTGGAATAGTGGTCTGGTCCCTGTCCTTTCTCCACCCCATCATCCTGGGGCTTCTCAGTGAGCATTCAAGGGTCTGGGGAATGTGGTGTTGGGGGCTGCAGAGGTCTCTTACCATGCCTGGAACTCTGCTACTCTGGAATCGGCCACAGGCAGCAAGCCTGTTTTCTGGCAGAACAGAGGACACCAGCACTATTTGCTTCTAGTGCCGGTTCACAGCCCATCCCCCCTCCCTTCACAGCCCCTGAAGCCTCTTTCCTAGTCTTCTCCCACCTGATCTTTTGCCACCATCCCTACCACCTAACCTTTACCCTCTCAGTCTCTCCAGGCCTGTAGACTCCCCTAAGTTTCCTCACCCACTGCTCCCACAACACCCTTCAACCTGCCTCTTGACACTCAACCTGCCTAGACCTTGTCCCCCATCTCCTCCAATCCCACTGCTCCCACCCTTTACAATTCCTTTCTTTCCTCAGGCCTGTTCTAACTAAATCTCCCCTTTCCCTCCATCCCTCAGCCATGTGCACCCCGGGAAATGGAGACCTTTACCGAAGTCTGACAACCCTATTTGTAAGGGGAGCAGACAGAGACTTCTGGCTAGTCTGCAAAGTGGCTTGATACAAGACCGGTGGGACCAGATGGGATAGATAAATAGACAGCTACCTACCTTTCCTTTTGGTCACCACGGCAAACAGCAGCACTGCTACCACCAGCAGGCCTAGTAGGAGCGCAGCGCCCCCGATCAATGGGATGCTGACAGAAAGGAACAGCTGGCTTAGCTCTGAACCTTGTAAGGGGCTGCTTGCTAGGAGCCCTAGTACAGTGGCAAAGACTTCACATTCTCAGTGATCCCCAGTTGGGGAAAAGAGGAAGGTTTTGAAAGTAGAATGAGCAGGGCAGACTCAGCTAGGTAGTAGAGACATTCTCAGGATATACTGGCTGAAGACCAACCCATCACTGAACTTGGATAGATAGGTCTGCCCCTTTGAGTTCATCTGGCACTCTCTATGAGTCATATCTTCCCCACCATCCTTCTCCTGGCCACCCAAACCCAATTCTTATCAGTACCTCTTCTTATCTTGGCTGGGTTCCAAAGGGCTGGCACTGCCCACAGGGTGTAAGGAGGGCTCCTCAGTCAGATTACCAGTCTTATAGGTCTCCTCCTCTTTCAGGCTAGGAGCTGAGTCAGAAAGAAACACTTAATGAGCACATATCAGTGTTGATGTCTGAGGGACTGGGGATATGGATCTGAGGAACCAGAGGCTTGGGATGTTCCTTCTTGAGGGTCAGGGAATTGCACTAGCTCTTCAGGTCTGTTGTCAGGTGCCATCGAGTTGATTCCAACTCATAACTGCCTTATAGCATAGAGTAGAACTGCCCTGTAGGGTTTTCCAGGCTATAATCTTTACAGGAACATATTGCCAGGTCTTTGTCCCACAAAGCCACTGAGGAGTTCAAACTGTGGACATTTTGGTTAGCATGGCTTGTTGTGAATATACCCTTTCCCCTCTACCACCCATGTCCCACATTTTGTCCTTTACCTGCTCCACCCCGCACCTGGTCCTATCAGGCTGTCCAGCTTATGTAGAAAGCACTCTCTGAGTAATCTGTCCACCTCCCCTCCTCACTGAAGAATAGGGTTCTCCAGCCCTCATTCTCAGTGTGATCTTGCTCCTGTCTTTCATTGGTCTCAATAAAAGCTTCAGCACAGTCTGCTAGGCCTCTCCATACCATATGACCTGCAACCATATGACCCCCCCCACACACACACACAGGCTGGCGGAGCACCATCTGAGCTCTGCCCTCAAGCTTTAAGGAGAGGAGCCCTGGTGGCACAGTGGTGAAGTGCTTGGTTAGGTCCGCAGTTCAAATTCACACTCTGCAGGAAAAAGATGTGGCAATCTACACCCATAAACATTACAGCCCTGGAAACCCTATGAAGTAGTTCTACTCTGTCCTATAGAGTTGCTATGAGTTGAATCAACTTCATGGCAATGGGTTTGGTTTTTTTGGTCAGTGCATACTTGACCCTTGCTGACAGCCTTGCTCAGTTTTGTGACAGGGCTTCTGTCATTCCTACAACATACTTTCCTTCTGGCTATGGGACCCAGGATGGGTCTCACTGGATGTGAGGATTGATTGGTCTTGGGACTTAGGCAGTCCTTCTAGGCCTTCTGGTATGGGGGCCTTGCCTCGTTTTTGAGGAAAAAAACAAAACAAAACAACAACAACAACAAAAAAAAAAAAACAGGCATTCTGGTGGCATAGTGCCTAAGGCATTTGACTGCTAACTAGAAGGCTGGCGGTTCAAACCCACCAGCCACTCCTCAAAAGGAAGATTGGGCAATCTGCTATTTTTATTGTCTACCTCATGCCACACCAGGAACTGGAGATGCTGTGGCCCACATCTTGCCCCACTCTTCTGCTACCTAGTGGGCCACCTAGGATGAAACTCTGAAGCAAAATGCTTGCCTGAGCCAGTCCCACCTTCTCCCTGGCTGCCATGTGGGGTCTCTAGCTCCTGCCCCATTACAATGGATAGGGGGCCCCAGGTGTCTGCCTCCTTTTTCCAGTGTATCACATCCTGTCAAATTTGCCTTTTAGCTCCCTGAGTTACCAGACACCAGACCATCAAGAAACAAGTTACCAGAATTACCAGACTCCAGTGGGTCAAGGAATGAGGGAAAAAGGATGATACAGGAGTAGATTTATAATTCATAATATTAATCTTGGACTCAAGAAAGACTCTGATTACCACTTAGTCTAACCCTTTTATTTAATGGAAGAGGAAAAAGGCAAGAAAATGGAAAATAATTTAATTATTTGGGGATTGGGCAAAAATTGCTTGTGAAAAGAAAGACCTACAAGGGACAAAACATCAATATCCACAAGAGAAATGCAATAGCTGTCTCTGCTAGCTGGCCATTTCCCTCCAAACATCTTTTACAGCATCCTTCACTTTTTCTGAATGTTTTTCTTTTTATTATTACTTCCAAATTTTCTTTTAATAAAGGCATATGTGCTAGAAAGTTCTAGTCTGTAAAAAAATCAAACCGGTAAAAACAAAATGTTTCCTATACCGATAATAGGGTTTAGGATATTGGCTTCAATAGGGGTGACACTGTTACCATTTTTTAAATGGAATGAGATAAAATAGCTCAGGAATTGCATGTACCCCACCTATGGGCCAGGCACGTACTAGATGCTAAGGCATGGTTTGTAAAATTAATGAAGATACCAATTCAGTATATTAAGCCTTCAAACCCATTGCAGGAATAAAAACTGAACGCTATAAAGCATTAATTCCAGTTTATATGCTGAAATTAAACTTTATTTAAAGCATTTCTAAGTGAAAGTCAGATAGCTCCAAGTAAGTTGAAAATGCTAGGAAGAACTGAGGCCGTGGAGTGGGGAAGGAGACTGTGCTTCCTGTAGGGAAACCAGCTTTTGTGGGAGGAGGACAGGGCACTGTTTGGCTGATTTATCGCAGGCTTCCCATCCAGTATGGTTTCCGTTCCTTGCAGCTCTCCCCAGGGGCACTGGCCTGCTGAGGTCCCCACCCACCCCCTAGGACCTCAAGAACCAGGGCACCAAGCAGGGAGCAGAAGGATAACTAGGAGATAACTCACCTGGAGGGAGCACTTCCAGAGTGATGCGGTGTAAGGTCTGAGGCCCAGCAGCTCCCTCCACCACGCAGCCATACTCCCCTGCATCCTCCTCCTGCAGGGTGACCATTTCCACCTGAAGCAGGCCCCCACCCAGGTCAGTGAGAAACATACGTCCACCTGCTGGGACTCTGCGATCCACTGCTGAGGACGCCAGGGGCTGGCAGCCCTCTGGCAGGAAACGGCACCACACCTTCTGAGCCTTGACATCCTGGAGTCGATAGTAGCACTGCATCACAATGGACTCCCCCTCGGGCACCTGCAGCAGCTCGGGGAGGCTGCCCACTGAGCCCTGACCTAGGGAAGGAGAGAGGATGGGGATGTTGGGCAGGAGCTGAAGGCACTGGGACCTAAAGGGACCCCTTCTGGGCCTATCCGTGTGTCTGCGCCCTATCGGTGTATATGTGGCATGCACAACTATGCCATTTATTCCTGGGCAGGGGCAAAGTATATGGGGCCAGAGGAGCAGCTACTTTTGAACCTTACCTGCTAGTGTCAGGAGCAGCAGCAGCACGAGCAAGTTGGGGCCCATGGCTGGGCAAGGAGGTGTCAGCTCTGAGGCTCGCCTGGGCAGTGACATGGCATTCCTCTGAGAGCAGGAAACATCTGCCACCGTCAGTCACATGGGGCTGTCAGTGACCATGGACTGGTGGGTCCCTCCATGGGTGGGGAAAAGAAGTGTCTTTTCAAATCCTGATCCACTCAGTGCTCAAAGGCTGACCACGGGGGCAGGGGTGGCAAGTCAGAGTGAAAAAGGCCCAAGAAAAGGCTGGAAGCCCAATGGGCTGGCACCCAGTTAAGGGAGGAGGATGGTGTCAATTGGAGGGCAATAGTGGAAGAGGGAAGATGAGCTTCAAGATCATCTGAATACAAACTTTGAGATGCAGAGCTGTGAGGGAGAAGGTAAATCACCCTCCCCAGCCCCAAGGACATTCTGATTCCAAATTCTTTATAAGTGACCTCCCCCATCCTAAGCTTTCTGGAGCTTATCTTTCTCTCTGCATTATAACCTCACAACAGGACGTTCCAGCTAGGTGGTGGGCCTTGGGCTGGGTCTTTCATATATTGTGCTGGGCACTTTTCACCAGTTGCCATTGAGTTGACTCTGACTTAGGGCAACCCTATGTGTGTCAGAGTAAAACTGTGCTCCATAAGGTTTTCAATGGCTAATTTGAAGTGGCTCTGGGTTAGGAGCTAAGCAAGTTAACTATTTGCACCACCTAGAGGCTCCGGGCACTCTTTAAATCCTTTCAATCCAGTCTTTTCTTCTGAGTTGGCCAATTTCCCCTCAGAGTTCTTCAGTCTCATGCCTAGGAGTGGGGCTAGGAGTGATGCTGGGAGGATCGTGTCCATTTGCTGACTAATAAACCATGCTGCTATTTCTACTCTATGGTGGCAATAAGCAGCGGGCAAAACGCTTGACTTAAATGTTTTCTGTCTTTAGATTGTCAGATCTATCTGGGAAGATTTATATATATATATATATTTTATCTTTACAAGCAGAGTTTGTTTTACATGTACACATGTACATTTAGTTTCACTCCCAATTTACCATCCCTAACCCTAACCCAGTCTCCTCCCCTCCCTGCCCAGTAACCATCCCCCACCCCCCACCCCGTGCCCCTCATAGTTATGCACTCCTGTGTTCCCTGCATTTCCTCCATGTGGATGTTGCCCTTCTGGTGCCCTGTGGTCGACTGCTCCAAGGTATGCATCTCCATAGAGTACGTGGGTGCATCACCCTGGGTTGAGTGGTCTGCGTGTACATCTTGTTTAGTATTGGGCTGAAAGCCAACCCCTGAGAGTGAGTTTTATTCCAGGCCCAGAATGTATGCCAGGGCCATAGTACTGGGTCAGACTCCATCTGACCAGTAATTCTGGCTGGAAAGATTTCTAACAGTTTCTTGAGCTTCAAAGCTGGAAGCAGTGTGGATAGGCACTTGCCTACTTTTAACTCTCTCCTCCCTTTCTCTCTCTCTCTAGGCTCTGCCCTCCACCCCAGAAGGAGCTTGTATTTCTTTCCTCTGGCAAAATTACTATTCTGTCTACCCATCATCCTCATTACCCTATCCTCTGACTTATAATAGAAATCTGCTTTGTCTTTCACACTCAGATTATTTAAGTTGATTTTAATGGTAATACATTCATATGATTCAAAATTCAAAAAGTATAAAGAGATAATCACAGTGAAGTTCCCCACCTCCTCAATCCACCATTCTCCAGCCACCTAGTCCCCTACCAAGACCCAATCAAGCAATAACTGCTCCCTCGTTGACTCTTCCTAAGATATTTTATACACCTGTTACAGATTGAATTGTGCCCACCCCCTCCCCCCAAAAAACGTTTGTTGTAAATCCTAACCTCTATGCCTGTGGTTACACTCCCATTTGGAAATTGAGTTGTCTTTGTTATGTTAATGAGGCAGGATTAGTAGTATAAAGTGTGCTTTGAGTCAATCTCTACCAAGATATAAAAGGAGCAGATTAAGCAGAACAGAGATGGGGGAAGAGAGATGCCAAGCCACAAAGACTGCCCAGCAGCAGAAGTTCAGAAGAAACAAGGACTTTCCTCCAGAGTCAACAGAGAGAGAACACTTCCCCTAAAACCTGCACCCCGAGTTTGGATTTATAGCCTCCTGCACTGTGACAACACAAATTTCTGTTTGTTAAAGCCACCCATTTATGATATTTCTGTAATAACTAAGACAACACCTAAAAGTGAAAAATGTATTTCCTCTTTTTTTTTTCAGACAAATGGTGGCATATATTCCATATATACAGTCTGCACCTTGCTTTTTTCATGTAACTATGTATCATACAGAATGTTCCCTATCAGTCCAAAAGAACTAGCCTCTTCTTCCTTGTTCTTCTTTTTATTTTTTATGGTGGCAATGCATTCTAATCTGTGAATGGACCACAGTTAATTTTACCAACCCCCAACTGATGAACACTGAGTTTGCTTCCAATCTTTTTCTATTACAAACAAAGCTGCAGTGATTGACCATATCCAAATACCATTTTGGTCATGTCTGAGTATATCTGCAGGAGAAATTCCTAGAAAGGCCAGAGTGTATGGAGTTTGTAATTTTGACAGGTATTAACAATGCAAGTGAGTATCTGTTTCCCCACATTCTCATCAACATGGTGCCTTATCAAACTTTTTAATATCTGCCCATTCAGTAGGTGAAAAATGGTATTTCAGTGTAGCTTTCATTTACCTTTATCTTATTCTGAATGAGAATGAATATATTTGCATATATGTTAGAGCCATTTCTATTTCTTTTTTAGTGGCTGTCCATATCTTTTGCTCATTTTTCTATTACATTTCCTTCTTGAGCTATAGCGTCTTTACTCTAGGCCAGTAGTTCTCAATCTTGACCACATATTAGAATCAAGTGGGGGGCTTTAAAAAATTCTGAGACCCAGGCCACACCCCAGACATTCAGTTAGAATATCTGCAGGGTTGGGCCCAGGTGTTAGCATCTTTTAAAGTCCCCTCCCCACCCCTTCCAACGTTTAGCCAAGGTTAAGCATCACTGCTCTCGGCTCAATCTGCCCTCATCCTGCAGCAGTGAATGCCATTGACCTAGTATATGGAGAGCTACAGGGTGGGCTGGGTGACAAGAGTAACTCCCAGGGGTTGGGGAGATTTTAAAACTCTAAATGATGCCTCTGGTTATCAGTTAGAGCTCTTGTAACCAACTTAAGCAGAAAACTAGTCTGCTTGGACATTACACAGAATCCCTGGACATTACAAAGAATCCCTGGTAAGCAAGGAGATCCAGGTCTGGAAAGTAAGAAGGGCCAAATGAAAACTGCAGAGCCAGAGCCAAAACTGCACCAGCCCGGTAAGGACACCAAGGCCACCACTCCTGAGCAGTGAGACCACAGCTGTCACAGCTGCCCTTATGTCAGGAAGCTGCCCTTCTCTCTCGCTGGCTCCTTAGTCACAATGTGGAGGATGCATCTGTCTGTGGGAGCAGACTGCATGCCTGTGCTCTGACTGCATGGAGGCTGGGGAGTCGAGGATCTGGAGTTTTGCTCAGCTGGGAAAGAAGATAAATGCATGTGGTTGTTCTGCCTTGTGGGACCAGCTGTGTTGTGTTTCTCAGTATTAATTACTAGTTGGGTCAGGGATCCAGGAGACCTTGGCATTCTGGGATTTAACTGGATGTACTTTACACAACAAATTCCCTGGGTGGTGCAGATGGTTAATGTGCTCAGCTATTAACAGAAAGCTGTGAGGTTTGAACCCACACAGAGGTGCGTCAAAGGACAGAGCTGGTGGTCGACTTCTGAAAAATCAGCCATCTAACCCTATGGAAGGAGCTCTGGTAGCATAGTGCCTAAAGCATTTGACTGCTAACCAGAAGGCTGGTGGTTCAAACCCACCAGCCACTCCTCGGAAGGAAGGTGGGGCAATCTACTTCCATAGTGATACTGGTTTGGCAACCCAAGGAGGGGTCTCTATGAGTCGGGTCTAACTTGAAGGCACATAACAACAACAACAACCCTATGGAGCACAATTTTACTCTGATACACATGGACTCACCATGAATCAGAACTGACTCCATGGCAACTGGTTAAAGCAAATTACAGGTCTTAATTCACCACCTTTGGAGACCATATTTGGTTGTCACTGTGAGCCTACCATTCAGAGGCAGGTCCCTCCATCAATGGGTAAGTCTGGTGCTCTGCTCATGTGCTCTATACACTCAGTATTTTCAGACTTTTCCAGAGAGGTCTGAAAGGGCCACTTCACATTTTCCAGCCAGTAGCCCTTAACAATGTTGTCAGGAGGTGTTTAATGGCATAATGGTGTCTTTGACATGCAGGTAGGTATATGTCATGGAACTTATGCCTATGTGTACTGCCAAGGCTCCACCTGGGTTATTGGTGAAAGCAAACGAGTGCAGCTGTGCAGCCAGACAGACCTGCTTGGGCAAAGGGAAAAGCATCAAGTGTGACAGTGTCAGCAGTGCAGAGCAAGCCCATACAGACAGACCAAGAACTTCTCCAGGATGGGATGCTAAGGAGGAGCTGTCTGCTAGGAGAATCCCTGGAAAAAAGAAATCTACCATCCCGAAGAGGCTGGCCTTGGAAAGCAAGGTGAGCACCAGTGCTCAGTGAGGGTTGAGGAGGGACACTATGGATAGGTGGGAGGACAAATTGCCTGACACAGAGGGTGAGACCTAGAAACAGTTATAGTTGGGTTGACTCCAAATCTTGGTGAGCTCGTATTCCATAGGGTTTTCAATGGCTAACTTTTCAGAAGTAGATAGTGAGAACTTTCTTCTGAGGTGTCTCTAGGTGGACTTGAACCTCCTAATTTTTGGTTAGCAGCTGAGCATGTTAAATGTTTCCATTACGCAGGGACTCAAGACTTAGAAAAGGTGCTGAGAAAACGTTCCTCTTCCCTCCATCCCCTGCCTTTTTTCTTCTTCTTCCCTCTCTACTCAAGGGTATCGAGAATGGACAACTGGAGCAGGAGCCTGAAAAAGCCTATGTAAGGCTGAGGGCAGTGGAAGGGGCTGATAGGGTGACCAACCATCCCAATTTGCCTGGAACTGAAGGATTTCCCAGGATTTGAGATTTTCAGGTCCCAAAGGTCACCAAAGGTGCCCAAGGTCACTCACTGATACTGGGAAAGACCTGAACATATGGGAATGAGTGGGTCACCCTAGTGGGTAATGTAGAAGTACTTATATCTTTCCTGCCAGTGTCTATCAGGCTGTCATGGATGTCCCTACCAGAAAGTTACTTTTCTTGCTAACAAGCCACCTGGAGTATTGTGTAAAGAGGGAGCTATATTGCACATTTAATGTTGTATCCTAAATTAGATACAGCCCACTGCTGGGGGCTAGGCAGGATCCTGGCTTCCAGGGAGGTTTCATGTTGCTGAGCATTAGAGAAGAGAAAGGAAAGTGGTGTTTATGGAGTTCCTAGGTGACACAAATAGTTAAGCACTCTACTGCTAGCCAGAAGGTTGGCAGTTCAAACCATCCAGAGGTGGTTCAGAAGACAGACCTGGGGATCTGGTTCTGAAAAGTCACAGCCAAGAAAACCCTATGGAGCAGCTCCACTCTGCACACATGAGCTCACCACAAGTAGGAATCAACTTGATGGCAGCTAACAGCAACTTTGTTCCAGACACTTTGTTCCAGACACCTGGTCGGGTGCTTTCACTAAGGTTATTTCTTTCAACCTCACAAAAACCCTGCAAAGTATGGTTGTTACAGGTGGGACACTGAGGCTCAGAGGGGTTAGTAACTTGCTTAAGGTGCCTTAGTAAGAAGCAGAGGTGAAATTGAAAACCAAATTGTCTGACTCTCCTTCTGTCCACTATACCCTCCAGAGTTCCTGACAGGCATTCCCAGTGGTGATTTGAACCAGGGGTGGACATCTCTGATAAGACAGAAAAAGAATAAGAAAAGGCCAAGTTCTCAAAGACAAGGAGAGCTCAGTGCAGGGCTGGGCCTGACAGCAGCAGTGGGTTCCAGGGCCAGGTGTGTGCTGGGGAGCCTCCTGTGCCTGTTTCGCAGGCAATTGTGCCCATAATGGGGGAAGGTGGTGGGTAAGGAGGACTCACTCTGGGCTTGCCTTAACCTTGGTGCCTAGGCTCTGCCTTGGATCTAAGGGACCCAATGGGACCCAATAAGGACATTTTCCTTGCCACTGAGTCAGAGAGGCTAAGGAAAGCAGATTGAACCCTGTCTGGGAGCTCTGGACAGGGCCAGTGGAGCAACTCAAATGGAGATGGATGAGGCAGGGCTGGAGCTCTGCTGGGACTGGGAAGTGATGTATTGAATGAAGGTGGAGCACGAGGGATATATTAGCATCCCTTTCCCAAGGATACTCTGGCCCTCAAGCCCAGGCTGGTGGCAAAATAGCCATGTGTGGCTCTGGCCTAAGGGGGTCTTGAACCTCCTCCTCCCCAACCCGAAGCCCAAGGATGAGGCCCACTTAGTTTCTCTTCTTCCCAACACCCCACCCTTGGGACTTCACACCAGCCTGTGGACCAGGTTTTCAGTGGCAAGGAGTTTGTGGTCAGCCCAGTGTCCCTCTCATTCTTGGTCAGGGTTGTGGGTATATATTGAGGCTGTTCCCTCTACCCCAAACACTCTTCCCCCAACATCTTCATGGCTCATTCCCTCACCCCCTTCAAGCATTTCTCAAATGGCACCTTCTGACAACCCTATTTAAAACTGCACCATCCTACATTCCTTGTGCCCTCTCAATACTCCTTGTTGTTTTTGTTAGTTGCTGTCGTGTTGATTCTGACTCATGTCAACCTGTGTAAGCAGAGTAGAACTGCTCCATAGCATTTCAAGGCTGTGGCCTTTTGGAAGCAGATTGCCAAGGCTGTCTTCTGAGATGCCTCTGTTGTTGTTGTTACGTGCCATCGAGTCGGACCTGATTCATAGCGACCCCTCCTTGGGTTTCCGAGGCAGTATCACTATGGAAGTAGATTGCCCAACCTTCCTTCCGAGGAGTGGCTGGTGGTTTTGAACTGCCAGCCTTCTGGTTAGCAGTCAAGTGCCTTAGGCACTATGCTACCAGAGCCTCTGGTAAGCTCAAACCCCCAATCTTTTGGTTAGCAGTTGTGATGCAGTGAATTACCTAATATAGCCCTTCTAGCCATAGTCTTTTTAACTTCCACCAAATGACTGGGTGGGACTCTGTAAATGCCAAGTGCTTGTGGTCCACCAAGCAGACTGGATGGCTTGCTAATAATTGGAATAAGGTGCATGGCACAACTGCACAGATGGGTCCATGCAAATGAGGTGTATGGAACCCTACTGTGGGGATTGGTCCATTTTGCCATCCTGATAGGTTTCAAATGAGGCAGGAATCTTACTACCATCAAGAAAGAAGAGCCAGGAGTAGAGCACTTGATGGAGCTAAGTTTGCCAACTCACAGAGCTAGCACTGACCGCCATCAAGCCAAGACTTACTGTCTGGGTAGGGTGCCTCTGGGCACTTACTGGCAGAGCTAAAAGAACTTTGTAACACTTGTTTGAGCAGGGCAAAGGGCAAAGGGCTATGAGGCTGAGCAGCCAAGGATCTGATCTGGAATTGTAACCTGTTAACTTTCCTAATAAACCCCATAATCATGAGTATTGTCTGTGAGTTCTGTGTGGCATTGCAATGAATTATTGAACCCAGCAGAGAAGTAGAGAGTGCTATGGGAGGGATGGTTGGTGTCAGAACTGATAAAAAGGTTGGCAGGTGGAGGCATGTTTGGTCTTTGCCCCATGGGAATCAGCGTTGGGCTGTTAATCTTGATCCTCCTCCCCTCTTAAGAAGTTAGAGGAAGTGACATGCTGCCCCCACGTCATTTTTGCAGCAGTCAAGCATTTACTGGTTTGTGCCACACAAATATTCCTCCCAATACTCCTAACCCTACTTTATTGTAAAATTTTCTGAGAACTTTTTGTCTACTAACATTCCATCTGGTTTACTTTTTGAAATACATTTGTTGTGTTTATTGTCTGTCTCTCCTCACTCCCAATCCCCACCCCATGCCACTAGGTCATGATCTCTGTGTCAGCAGAAATCTGTGCCTGTCTTGTTCACAGCTCTATCTCCAGTGCCTAGAATAGTTCCTGCCACATAGTTAAAAAAGAAGTTCCCATCAATTCAATTCTAATTCATAGTGACCCTATAGGACAGAGTAGAACTGCCCATAGGGCTTCCAAGGCTATAGATTTTTACAAGAGCAGACTGCCACATCTTTCTTCCACAGAGCACCTGGTAGGTTCAAACTGTTGACCTTTCAGTTAGCAGCCAAGTGCTTAACCACTGCACCACTAGGAATTCTTTGCCAAATGGTAGGTGCTTAAAAAATATTTGAGTAAATTAATAAACAAGTGAACCAGATAGTGCTAGAGGGAAAGGTACCTTGAATGCCACATGAAATTTGGATTTCTAGACTCAACAGGGGACCTTGTGTAAATCTCTTTTCCTCTGTGAGACTCAGTTTCCCTCCTGAGACAATGAGGGGTTTGGACCATATCTTAGTTTCCTAGTGTTGCTGTAACAGAATTACCACAAGTGGGTGACTTTAATGAACAGAAATTTATTTTCTCACAGTTTAGGCTATAGTGGAAGTCTTGCTCTCTGTTGGCTGTGGTGGAAAATCCTTTTCTCTTTAACTTCTGTCACCTCAGCATTCCTCAGTTCTCTGGCTATCTTCCTGTGGTATCTATCTTCCCCTGACTTTGTGTTTGCTTATCTCCTTGGGTGGCACAAATGGCTAAGTGCCTGACTAACTGAAAGGTTGACAGCTTGAGTTCATCCAGAGGTGCCTTGGAAGAAAGACCTGGGAATCCACTTCTGAAAAGTCACAGTCCTGAAAACTCTACAGAGTAGCTGTACTCTGAAACATTTTGAGTCAGAATTGACTCGATGTCAACTGTTTTTATGGTTTATAACTCAAAAGCAGTTAGGTTTAAGACATGCTGTACACCTCACTAACATAATGCAAACCCTATTTCCAAACAGGATTGTATCCACAGATACCAGATACAGGGGATACATTTTGGGGGGACACAATTCAATCCATAACAGACCAGTAGTCCCCAGCTCTGATACACTATGCTTTATGACTCAAGCCCTTGTTGTGTCTCTGGAGGGGAAGTAGCATGAAGAAAGCAAAGTGGTGGGGAGATGAACGGATGAGTCAACTGGGAGCTGGATGGATCTGGAGGAAGGCGCTGGGATGTCAGCAATAATCTAAGGGAAGCTGGTGATAAGGGCAATGGCAGGAGGAGTGGAGGGGAAAACTAGATGCTAGAGGAATTCTAGAGGAGAAGGAGGTAGCACTTGGTGATTAGATCTAGAAAGAGCAAACAGAAAAGAATAAAAGAAGTTGTCCGCCCAGTTTGGACCCTGTAAGCATTGGAGGGACTTGGTATCCTAAAGGCTCTAGACCTCAAGGAGCCAAACCTTTTATCTTTTCCTCATTCCATTGCATTCTCCTAGCCCTAGCAGGAGAGACGAACTGCATGAAACCCAAACCTACCGAGCTGTCTTCAATTTATTTGTGAGAGTATTTAATGTCCAATGGAAGAAGTTGACAGATGGCCCTCACACCCCCTCCCCAAGAAGTCCTTGCTCCCAGGGGCCCAGGTAAGTAGGGCTCAGACAGAGTGGCTCCTTTCCAGAGCAGAACCAGGAATCTTGGTGGCAAAAGCAGCAAGTGTGCAGATGGTCTGATCCCTGGCCGGACTTCTCCTGGGCCTCTCCTCCCATCTAGGGTCCTGTCTTCTCAGGTGTCTCTCAGCCCTGCAATAGAACAAGTCCTCACATGGCCCTCTCAGCTCCACTGAGGCACCCCTGCCTGACCCATCACCCAGCTACCACCATGCTCTCAAGCTCACCTGTCAGGGTTTGGAGCTGGTGCCCTGGGTCCTGGTTATAGTTGAGCCCACTGATTGAAGGTGTCCTCATCTTCCACCCACGCCAGGCCACAACCCAGAGGACGCTAGTTACTAGAAGCTTGCTGAGAAAGATGCAGGCCAGGAGTAGAAAGATGGAAGTGTGTGAAAAGGGGATGTCCTCTTCAGAAGGGCTCCTTGGAGAGACAATAAGGGCAGATTGGAGGCCTTGAGGTGGCATGGAGATAGCAATCTGCTCCCAGAGAGAGTAATAGGGAGACCAGGAGCTTCTGGGGGCTCAGAATGCCATCCTCCCAGCACCTCACTTCATAAGGGGCTTTGTGGGGCTCAGAGGAGCCTATAGTCAGGAGACCTGGGTTCTAGTCATGGATATCCCACTAACCTGCTGAATGCACTTACATATAACCTTCCCTCTCAGAGTGTTTTTCTGCTGTACACGACGGTATGGTGTGTGTGTGTTCATGCATGTGTATATATTTATACCGGCATGGACCAATCAGAACTTCTTCTGCTCCTACCAAAGGGGCAGAGGCCTAACATTTTCATTGTCGCTGCATTGTGAGGGTATCGGGGATGCCTGGAGAGGAGTAGAAGGTGGCTATTCAGAGGGCCTAGAGCAGCAATTTACAAGCTCATCCTGGCTGGTTGAAGGGGTATTTAGACAATTCCATAGCCAGGACTTTCCATGCTCTAATTGCTTTGGGACTTGCAGTTCTGAGACCCCCACCCTCCACACCATGCTGGGCCTCAGCAGGGCGCAGTTCTGCCCAGTGGTCTTAGGGAAGACCCATCATGGTACCTGGAGATGCTGTGCTCCACTTGGGCCTCCTCAAAGCTCTCGGGTTCCTCAGGGACCCAGAAATCTCCAGACTCCTGGGGGTCAAGGGGGTCTGTGGGAGACAGAGTCTGTGAGCTTCTAGCCCCTCCTCCTTGAGGCAGCCTACAGTGGTGGGTAAGGAAAACCTTGCATGTGGGGTTAGGCCCTCTGGACTCTGGTCCTGTGTGGATCAAGTCATTTCACTTCTCTGACAGTCTCTTCATCTGTAAAGAGGAATGCCTCCTTAATAGCAGTGATGCCAGGATTCAATGAGAGAATCTCTGAATAGTGCCCAGCACTCCAAAGAGCTCATAACTGCAACTCTATTTCCCACCACAAGGGGGCTTTGTGAAGATCAAATGGAATAATGAATGTATTTGAAAGTCCTGTGTAAATAAAATCTTAAGAAGTCTACACAAGCTATGGTTTATTATGCATTATTAGTATTATACTATTATTTCCCTGCCACAGTTTCATAGTGTTTTCTTGACTGCAATCTTATGGAAGCAGATTGCCAGGCCCACCACTGCTGTGTGGGTTTCAACTGCCAACTTTTCCATTAGTAGTTGAGTGCAAACTGCTTGGGTCAGCCAATGAACTTCTGGCTAAGCCTTTGGGAAAAAAAAAAAAAAAAAAAAAACACCTCACTACCATTGAGTCAACCAACTCATTGGATTTCCAAGGCTGTAGATGTTTACAGAAGCAGATTGCCCCATCTTTCTTCCTTGGAGCGACTGGTGGGTTCAAACCACTGACCTTCTAGTTAACAACCATATGTCTTAACCACTACACCAGCCTTAGACACTGAAAATTCCTGTGTTTCCCACCTCCCACAAACATTTAGAAAAATGGTAGAGGTGGGATTTTATATATAGGGTAGGCAGTCTTCCATACCCCATCTCCACTCTTCCACCTCCCCAGCTCAGGCAAATATTACTCCGGATCCTTATTTCCACACCAGGGGCCATATTTAGGGGAGGAGAGGGTCAGAAAAAGGATAGATAATCCCAGATATGGTCTCCTTGGGACATATTTGTGTTCTGGAGACACAGACAAAGGGCTTTTCCCTGTGCAAAGGAGCCACCCTGTCTCACCTGCATCAGACCTGGTATAAGGATTTCAAGACAGTTGAACTGCAGGAGGCTTGGAACCAGGGAAACACTAACCCAAGAGCAATGTTAACTCTTGTCATCTCATCTGTGTCTCATGGGAGCCCTGTGGGTCAGTAGGACAGGCACCATGGTTTCCATTTAAAGATGAGGAAATGGGAGCCCAGAGAAGTAGAGCAACATGCCCAATGTCACAGCAAGTATTCTTTCTCAGGTCATTTTTCTGCACCAGGTTGGTGCTTAATTTACGTTGTTGGTATGTTCGTTGGTTGGTTGAATGAGGGAATAAATCAACCTCCATCTATTCCTTAAGAGCCATCTACAATGTTCACATATTACCAGTTCCCAGTTGTCTTCAAGTCAGTTCCAACTCATGGAGACCCTATGTGTGTCAGAGCAAAACTGCACTCCATAGGGTTTTCAATGGCTGAGTTTTTGGAAGTAGATGATCAGGCTTTTTCTCTAAGGCACCTCTGGATGGACTCGAACCTCCAAACTTTCTGTTAGCAGCCAAGTACATTAACATTTGCACTACCCAGGGGCTGCATTCACATACCAACCCAATGCAAAATGGATAAAATTGTTTGGGGAAGCAGGGCAACACCTGGCTCATACAATGAATGCTTCATGCAAATTAAAGAACATGCCCTTCCTGTAGGTGTGCTGTCCTGCACCACGGAGTTCAGCCTGATGAAAGGAGTCCAGGATGGATTTTGGTCCCCTTGTGCCAGGAGTCCTGTTGTTGTTAGGTACCATTAAGTAGTTTCTAACTCATAGCAACCTTATGTACAACAAAACTAAACACTGCCTTGTCCTGCACCATCCTCACAATCATTGCTATGCTTGAACTCATCATTGCAGTCACTGTGTCAATCCATCCTGTTGAAGGTCTTCCCTTCTGGTGGCATAGTGCCTAACAAGAAGGCTGGCAGTTCAAAACCCACCAGCCGCTCCTTGGAAGGAAGGTTGGGCAATCTACTTCCGCAGAGATACCACCTCAGAAACCCAAGGAGGGGTCACTATGAGTTGGATCCAACTCTACAGCAGTCAAGTATGCTATCCTTCTCCAGGCCCTGGTCCATTCCAATAACATGACCAGTGTATGAGAGACAAAAAGTCTGGCTTTTCTTTCTTCCAAGAAGCATTCTGGCTGTACTTCTTCCAAGACAGAAGTCCCAGGTGATGCAAATGGTCAAACACCTAACTATTAAGTGGAAAATTGGTCATTTGAAACCACCCAGAGGTGTTGTGGAAGACAGGCCTGGCATCTGCTTCTGAAAGGTCACAGCCTTGAAAACCTATGGAGCAGTTTTACTCTGCAACACTTGGGATTGCCATGGATTGGAATTGACTTTATGGAAACTGGTGTGTGTGTGTGTGTGTGTGTGCAGTAAGCAACTTGCATGGCCATCTATTGTGGGCCTGAGTGGGGAGTAGGGTCTACACTGTGGGTTTTCCCAGGGTTCCCAAAAGCCCAGTGGGTAGACCTGCACACGGTTACCAAAGACAGGAGCCCTGGCCCATAAGTGGGCCAGACATGTGGTCAGCCACCCACTCACCAGCCAGCACCTCCACCAGGACCTTGCTGAGGATGTCAGCCTCACTGCCACGGAGGCTCTGGCACTGGTAGAGGCCAGCATCATGGGCTTGAAGGTTCCGCAGCGTAATGGTGAGTGTGCCACTTAGGGCATCATCTGTGATGGCTGTGCTCCCATTCCACCTCTTCAAGAAGGACAGCAGCCACGAGCGGTGGGTGCTGACTACCTGCTGGCACGGGCCTTCCTCACCCAGCTGTCGGCACCAGGCCTTGCGTCTGCTCCAGTACTTCGAGGAGTCATAGGGGCAGGAGACCTGCAGGGGCCAGCCTTCCACACCCTGGAACACTGTGATGTTGTGGGCTGGGGACAGGCCTAGGGAGGAGACATTCATCCACTCTTTCATTCATTTACCAGGTATTTATGCAGTGAGCAAATCAGACAAAACCTCTGCCCTTAAAGAGCTTAAGTTCTTATATAAGTTGGGAGAAAGGAGCACAGGTCAGCCATGAACACAGGGGAGCTGGGAACCAGGAACTCTGGGTGCTGGATCTGGCTTTGTCACTGGTGCACTTGCTGGGCATTTTAGAGATCTAACTGACCATCTCTGGACTTATTTCCAGAAACATTTGGTTTGAAGTCTCCTTTAGTTCTATTCTACACATCTTCTCTCATCATATGGGGCCAAGGCCTCCCTCCTCCCCTCTTCATCTCAAGAAAGCCCGGTGGGGAGCAGGGAGAGAAATGCTCCTGCCAGGGCCAGTGGGGCTGGCTCCATGGAGCCTGGGCTGACCTGGGCGCACTCCCCATGCTGGCCTTGCTGCTTACTCTGCAGCTGCCCACGCTGATACCAGCTTCACAGTCTCTGCTTTCCTGACCTTTAACTTCCAGCTTCCCTATTTCTGTGGCTTTGTTCCCCTTTCAAGAGAGACTCATGTCAGAGTTATTTTGGGGGAGACATGAGGCTGCTATTTTGGGGACCCTCCTTAGGATCAGAGGGATGGGTTTAGAGCACCAGCCTATCGCCAGTGCAAGGGCTGCAAGGCACTCAGCTAGAGCTTTCTGCCTCAGTTCCCCCTCTCTTGATCCTCCTCTCTTTACCCCATCTCCAACCAGATGGTGACAGAAACTTGAAAGATGGGTTTGGGGAGCCGTGGCCTGCCATATGAGACTAGATGGGAAGTGCCCCTCTGTACATGATCCCCATCCATCCTGCTCTTTCAGGCCAACCCCACAGTACCCTCTCTCCACCTCGAGCTAAGAAGCTGCAAGAGCAAGAGTCCATCATGACAGTCTCCCATCACCTTGGTTTGCTCATTGCTTTAAGGGGAACAAAGTGGACTTTTTCCTAATGGGAAGAGGCAATTGGTTCCAAGAATTTGGGGTGTCAATCTTCCATCTCAGTGACAGAAATCTTCAGTCCGTTGCCTCCCATTGAGGGCTGAGGGCAATTTGGACAAGAGCACCTACAGAGCTCAGGAGGAGACCCCTAAAGACACAGGTTACTGTCTCAGTTTCTTTTCTCCTTTATCCCTTACCTCCCACCTTGTCACTTTTGGAATGGCCCTATGCTTAAGCAGTGCATGATTTTATGGGCCCTTACCAGAGCCCCCCAAGACTTCCCTCAACTGCAGCTAGTGCTTGAGATGCCCCCATCAGAGCTCATTCCCTGCTGATGGGTCAGAGTCCACCTTCCTTATGGCCCAAAATGCATGAAGAGCCTGGCAGTGGGTTTGATACTGGATGTGGAGAGAGCATGAGGAATCTGGGTCATAGGAAAAGGCAGGGTGCAGGATTGGGGATTGGACATGCTGAGGACCCCCTCTTCATAGTTCACTGTGTGCCCCCCCCACAGTATCAGCTCAAGGAAGGTGAGGAAAGAGGCCTCAGAGGAGGAAGATGGGGATCCTACCTGTGACTGCAAGCAGGAGGAACAGCTGGAGAGGCTCCATGTTGCCCTTCTCTGGCTGGGGGAAGGTGGACACGGGGTGCCTTGTGCAAGATCTTGTTTTCCCTTGGACTGCAGAAAGGAGAGGATCAGGCACATCAGGCACTGCTCACAGGAACTGGGTTCCTGGGGATTGAGCAACAGTCAGGACTGGGGTCTGGCTTTATGATTCAGAGCTGGAGTGGGGGGTGGGGGTGGGGAAGAGGGGAGGAGGAGTGGCCACTGCAGCTTGGGACAGGCTGAGGCCAGCCCACCATTCTTTAGTGTCAACAAGGGTGGGCCTCCAGAGCTGGGGCTGCTCAGGGCCCAAGGTTACTAGGTCTCCTTGCAGAGCCTAGTCCAGAGAACAAGCCTCACTGCTGTGTTCAGACCCTTCTGCAACCACTGGGCCATCCTCTAGTTCTAGCCGTGCACAGGAGGGAGAGCAGCTGCAGTCTCTAAGGTCAGGACCCTTATCCAGCCCCTCTAGTCCATCCCTCTGGGGCTGACTCTCCTTAGTGCGGCAACACCTAAGAGCATGACCCTGCAGCCAGACTGCCTGTCTTCCAGTCGTTCCTTGCTTACTTCCTGCATGTGTAAACACTTGCCTATAAGCCCTCTGGGTCTCGTTCCCATAGCTATAAAATGGAGAAATGATGGTATTTATAGCTGTTGAGACAATAAAATTAATTTCTACAGATAAAGTGCTTTAGAACAGGTTCTGACACAGAGTTGGGACTCAATAAATATTAACTATTACTATTATTTTAATTAAGGAGCTCTGATGGCTCAATGCCTAAGGTAGTTGGCTGTTTCCCAGAAAGCTAATGGTTCAAACCCACCAGCTGCTCCATGGAAGGAAGATGGGACAATCTATTTCGGTAGAGATTACCACTTTGGAAACCCAGTGGGGATTCCTATGAGTCAGAATTGACTCAATAGCTGTGGGTTTTTTGGTTTTGTTATCTCAATTAGCAGGGAACACGGGGTATTATGAGAGAGAGTTTCTCTCCCATCTGGAATTTCTTGCCCAATATTTAGCCTCCTTTGAATAGTCGGGTACCTCTTGTGTGCACATATGCCCACTGGCAGGCATTACTTTTGTGCACACACACACCTTGAACTCCCAACCATCCTATGGGACAGGACAAGAGATAATATTTCCTAGAGTTCTAGAGGTGGAGGTATATCCCCCCCCCCCCCGACAGGCAGGGATAACTGTGAAAGGTGATCTAGGTACAGGGACCCTCAAGTATAAAGACACAGAGGTGTGACATGCCCCCATGAACTAAGGTGCTGTGGGTGGGGGATGGAGGTTTGAAGCAATTCACAGGAGCCAGAAAGTGAGTTGTACTGGGGCTAGGAGCAAGAGAATCTGGAGGATCCTGCAGGTCCTGCAGATTATCAGGGTCTGCTTTGGCTAGTGCAAATGGCTAATGCAATCAACTGCTAACTTAAAGGTTGGAGGTTGGAGTCCACCCACGGGCACCTAGGAAGAAAGGCTGAACATCTATTTTCAAAAAATCAACCATCAAAAACCCTCTGGAGCACAGCTCTACTCTGAGACACATGGAGCCACCCTAAGGGGGATTGTTTGGGTTTGCTTAGTCTCATCCAAGCACTCATTGATTTATTCTTTTATACATTTATTTACTCATATTTACTGTGCAGCTACCATGTAGACAATGTGTTTGGAGATGGGCTATCAGTGGTGAACCTGAGGTAGTTCTTCACTTAGAATTCCAGCTGACCTATGAGACTGGAGAATGAGGGGTCTGATGTCACCTGAAGATCATTCTATAGGTGTCCTTCCATGGTCTATTTTTTAAATTATTCAACCCATTACCACTGAGTTGATTCTGACCCATAACAACCCTATAAGACAGAGTAGAGCTGCCCCCACAGAGTTTCTAAGGCTGCAAATCCTTGCAAAGGCAGATTGCTACATCCTTCTCCTGTGGAGCAGTTTCGAACCAAGCTCTTAACCCAGTGTACCCCCAAGGCTCTTTCAGTAAAGACTGCAGTCCCAGACATCCCACAGAGCAGTCCCACCCTATTCCCAAAGGTCTCCAAGAATCAGAATCTCCATGGTCTCTCTCTCTCTCTCTCTCTCTATATATATATATATATATATATATATGGGGGGGAGCTCTGATAGCATAGTGGCTAAGGCACTTGACTGCTAACCAGAAGGCTGGCGGTTCAAACCCACCAGCCACTCCTCAGAAGGAAGGTTGGGCAATCCTACTTCCGTAGTGATACTGCCTCAGAAACCCAAGTTGGGTCCGACTCGACGGCACATAACAACAACAACAACAACAAATATATATATATATATATATACACACACACACACACATATATACATATACTTTGAAATGTCAGGTTTATTCAGAAAAATTCACCCCTTGTAGGTGTCGAGTTCTATGATATTTGGCAAACTCACACACCTGTGTAGCAACTACCGCAATAAAAATTCAGAACATTTTCATCAGCCTAAATAGTTCCCTCATGCCCCTTTAGACAGTCGCCTGCCCTCCAATTCAGGCCTTAGCAGCTACCAACCTGACTTCCACTCCTACAGCTTTGATTTTTCTGGATAGTCATATAAATGGAACCATACAGCATCTAGCCTTTTAAATTTGGATTATTTCACTTATCATAATGCATTTAACACGGATGTAGTTGTTGTTGTTATGTGCTGTCGAGTCAGACCTGACTCACAGTGACCCCTCCTTGGGTTTACGAGGCAGTATCACTACAGAAGTAGATTGCCTCATCTTCCTTCCGAGGAGTGGCTGGTGGGTTTGAACCACCAGCCTTCTGGTTAGCAGTCAAGTGCCTTAGGCACTATGCTACCAGAGCTCCTTTGTAGTTGTACTACTCAGTAATTCATTGCTTTTTATTGCTGAGTAGTATTTCACTGGGAACTCTGGTGGTGTAGTGCCTAAGGCATTTGACTGCTAACCAGAAGGTTGGCAGTTCAAACCCACCATCCACTCCTCGGAAGGAATGTTGGGCAATCTACTTCCAGAGTGATACTGCCTCGGAAACCCAAGGAGGGGTCACTATGAGTCTGAGACAACTCAACGGCACATAACAACAACGACAACAATTCTCTCTCTCTCTCTCTCTCTCTCTCTCTCACTCTCACTCTCGCTCTCTCGCTCTCTCACTCTCTCTCTTTATATGGTTTTGCTTCTCTAGAGAACCCAGCCTAATACACCTACTCTTGCCAGGGAAGCCAAGGCTAGGGATGCACCAGATTCCTGTCAGGACCATGGTCAGCACCAACACCTAGAGCGAGACTAGGGAAGGGTGTACGTGGCTTTAACAGCTGGCCTGGAACAGGTCTCTCAAAGCTGGAACAACTCAAGCTCTATCAGGACATACCAGCAGCCCAATCTCGAAAAGCCCCTGCCCAGCCCTGCCTGGGAAGTGGGATTAAAGGAAAGGTTGGTGGTGTCCACCTCACCCTCTCTCTTTATATTTGGACCACCACTCTCTAAGACTCTCAGCTTGACAGTTCTTCCATTCTCAACATCTCATATTTTCTGTGTTGGAGAGCTCAATCCCTGTTTATGGCCAATGACACCCCTTTCCAGGGTAAGATGTCTTACAGGTGTGTGTGCCTGTGTGTGTGTGATGGAGAGAGATTAGGTCCCAGACAGGCAGACATCAAGTCTGACTGGCAGCAGCTGGTGGGCCCAGCCAAGGTGACATAGAATTGCAGGCTCAGTAGAAGAAACTGATCAAGGACACAGGCAATGAGAGAGAGAGACCCAGATACTGAACCTGGCTCAAGGCATCGTAGGTGTCATTGGGCTGAGACAGAAGCCTGGCCCTTGACTGGCTCGGGAATGGTCCAGATTCTGGCCATATGTTCAGCTTTCCTATGGGGGCAGAGTGGCCCTAAGTATGGGTATTAGAAGACTAGGGTGGGGACAAAAGCTGGACATACAGAGTAGCGGTTAAGCAAAGAGGCTTTGGCTTCTTCCAGATCTGTGCTTAAACTCCAGCTTTGTAATTTACTATGTGTCCTTGGGCAAGTTTCTTAATTCTCTGAGCCTGGCATCATTATCTGGGTGTATAAAGTTGATAGCACATTGGAAGTACTCAAGAAAGGGGGAAAAAGTAGCTTGTATTATTTTCCTACTTGATACTGTGTATTTCTCTTATAATCTTTCTTTCTTCCTCCTGTTATGCATTTCATCAATAACTATTTCAATTTTAAAAGACTCCCTTTTATTTATTTATTTATTTATTTATTTATTTATTTATTTTACTACTAATGAGAAGGCTGGCAGTTCAAACCCACCAGCCACTCCTCGGAAGGAAGACTGGGCAATGTACTTCTGTAGAGATACTACATAGGGGTCAGTATGAAAAGACTCCTTTTTAAAAGTAAAAAAAAAAAAAAGTCTTTAAAAACATCAAATTGCTGTTACATTAAAGGAGCTCTGGTGGCGTAGTGGGCAAGGCATTTGGCTGTTAACCAAACGGCTGTCGGTGGTTCAAGCCCATCACGTGCTCCATGGGAGGAAGATGAGGCAATCTATTCTGTAAAGATTTACAGCCTTGGAAACCCAATAGAGGTTGTTATGAGTCAGAATTGATTCCATGGCAGTGGGGTTTTTTATTGGGATTACAGTCAATGTTATGAAATAAAACATGTATGAACTATTGTCTGGAAAATGAGTTTGCTTTGTCAACTTTCACCCAAATCACAATTGAAAACAGGAAAAGAAATAAGTGGAGGGACAGGAAAAAAAAAAAGTCCAATTGCAGGTCTCTTATCCCTGCTCGTTCCTTCATTTTCCTTTCCCAAGATGACTGTGCTCTCTAAGCTTTGGGCCCAGCCCCTTTGTGCCAGATGAGTTCCAGGATCTTGTTTTTCCACCTGTGTCCTCTCTCTTCCAATGTCTTCAGCACCTCCTTCATCCCCAACAAGTTAACTTTCCCACTGGCAGTCTTGACGGTCCTTAAAGCTCCTCCTTTGCCTCTGCTTCCCTTCAATCACTGCCCTTT